CATCCTGCCTGGGGGGGGGAGGGTTGGCGTTTCTCACTTTTTCTTTCTCTCTCTAGCAAGTGCACATGCCCTATGGGGGAAAAAATATATATATACACACACATATATATATTATATATATATACATATATATATATATATTATATATATATATATATATATAAAAGATTTAGTGACTTTTGATACGGGTTTGGTGCAGGTGAATTTATTACTGAGCCAAATGAGGCACATACCGAGTCAATAGTTCAAGTCCAGGGCATTCAATACTTTTTATGATTTCCACATATGTACAGTGCCTATCCCATGCAATAGAATCAGTGTCATGTCAAATCCAGGTTCATGCATCAGAGCCAGCAATATTTTATTTGTAGACAATCAACCCAAATCTATAAAGTATTACTGGCAGAGGATTCTAATTCTGAATCCATAATACTAACAAAAAGAAACCCAGAGCATCTCAATAAGAAGTTTTTATTTTGTTCTTGGAAGTTAGTAGAACAGCAGCTGTATGTGGTTATGTTAGTCTTGAGAAACTTCATTTGTTGGCCATATTATTTCAGAAAAATTTCGTATGTATTATATTTGTGGGAAGGTAAAATAATGGTTTGAGATTTTTATCAAATGGAGATTAGTTATTTATGAACAACAAAGAAATGTTTATTTTTGTTTCTTTGTTCCCAATTAATGTAGATAAATTTTAAAATGCATTAAAGCAATGGTAAAGAAAATTAAAAGGTGCTGTAGAAGTTTTTTTCTCATGTTTTTACGGAAATGCACTGCTTTCTAAGAGTATCTGATATGCGGATTCTACTTCATCAGATTTCTCGGATGTACTTTAGCTATAAGCAAAATCTTTATTAATAAAACCCAGAAAGTTCCAACCATCAGAAGCAGAATCAATTGAAACATGTTTTATCTGAGTAGATTCCCTAGGTTTGTCCTGCCACTCTTGTGATTGTCTCATGCTTCACTTGAAGAAATGAAGGAGAGACATGCAAGAACCAAGATTGCCCAGGACTGCGTTCTAGCTTACAAGCTCTTCATCCATATGCGGGACTGGTCTGAATAGGAGGTGTTGTTCTATGTCCCCTTGGGAAGCAGGAACTCCCAAAACTGTTGATTGGTCAACAGTTGGATCCACAACTTGGTATTGAGCTCTAAATGCAAGCCATGGAGCCTAGTTGACAGGATATAAATTGACTTAGAGTTGGCACCTCCCTGACAATCTGGGCAGGTGCTTTGTGCGCCTGGTTACCATTGTCAAACTACAGGTTGCTTGCTTTGGCAAAATCCAGATGTGCCACCAGTCTGCCAAACAGCATCTCATTTTAAATACGTGCTATGTCAGTGTTTTCTGGCAGTGCTCCAAAGCATAAGTTTACAGGAAAACATGAAGAATTAGGAACTTCAAATGTTTGTGGGAGGTAACAGAAATCCAGCAAGAAGTGAGAGTGTGTAGGGTCAATGTGAGCGCCATGAACCTGGTACACTGGCATGTAAGAGAGGGCAGGTGGGAGAGCATACCTACTAGAGTGGTTGAGCTGGCTCCTGACCAAAGAGCACCTGTGTCTGACCTGTGCGGGACTCTACAATCAGCACATCTTCCCCAGGCATTCTCATTGCTCATCCCTTCACCATGGAAGGGGAGAGAAAAGGCAGTCTCACCCATCCGAGCGGAGGGACTGTTGGATTTATCAACAGAAGATTGGAGAAATAGGTGGTTCAAGATAACAGTATCAGTAACAATGCTTCTTTCAGTGGTTTAGCTACAGAAGTCTTTGTCACAGAGGGAAACAGCTGACAGGTGGAACAGTTAGGGGCATAAACTGGGGAGCCAGACTGGTTGGAGATTCAAATCCCAGCTCCGCCATTTTATGGGGAGTGTGATTCCAGACACTTTGCCTCTTGGCATTTCAGTTTTCTCATCTATGAAAAGGGCATGATAACAGCACTTCTGTCTTGGAGTTGATTTAAAGGATTAAATTGGGTGAAAGCAAGATGAAAGTATAAAGCCCTTGCTTTATAGGAAGCAGCTGCTCAGTCACGGAATGGAAAGGGAATTCAAATACGAGGTTTTCAGATACAAGTGCCTAAGAATTACTTGGAGTTTCTGTTTAAAATCTAGATTCCCAGGCCTCAGCAGATCTGGAGCTTAAGCAACTGCTTTAAAAAAGAAAAGAAAAAAAAAATCTTGACTTTGGAATAATGTGATTTACCGAAAAACAAATATTTGTTTCAAAGACAATTGTGTTCCTTCTGCCTCTCACCCATTTTCTCCTTATGTTAACATCTGACATTATTGCAGGGTTGTTAAAATGATGGCACATCGCTGTTAATGCCAGACTTCATCGGATTTCCTGGATTTCTCACCGATGGTCTGTTACAGGTTCGGACCCAGGATATGTTGCATTTAGAGAAGTTTCATTTTTCACAGCCTTTTACAGCTGATGAGGTGGTGGTCCAGGGACCACATCTTGAGAAACACTGGGACATTTTAAAGAACTGAGTAAAACAGATCACCCCATCCTTAAATTGGAAAGACAAATCCTTTTTTTTTTTTTTTTCTGGAGAGATTTTTGCTATAGGGCGCGTGCGCTTGCCAGACAGACAAAGACATAGAGACAGAAAGCGAGAAATCACCCCCCAAGGGGGGATGGCCACACCGCAATCCCTTCTCCTTCATTCTCC